ATTGGTATGGGGGTCAGTTGAATTCTCCTCTGAGGTCTAATTCCAATGCTTCTCTTTCTTCTTTTCTTTTTTAAAGGGACCCTTAAGAATAAACCCCAAGAAGTACCACGAGGCCTTCGTTCCATCTCCCGTAAGTAATCCCTACTTCTGTAAAGCTAGCCCGTCAACAAACACATCTTTACTCTGGATGGAGCATCAAGAAATTAAATCCTGAGATAGTCAGAGAACATGGGCTGTCTTTTGACGTGTGTCTGATATCACTCCTGCCCATCTTCTGATCCATGGCAGCTGAACTGCGAGGTAATGAACGGAGATAGGATACTGAAGGTTCTGAGCTTCTGGCCCTAATGAATGGTCAGGACTCGGAACAGGAGGTTTAAAAATGCGAGCGACAGTGATTTGTTAGTGATGGTTCATTCGTAACATTGTCCATTATCTGGATCCTCATCTGGTCACGGGGCAGTGTGTAAATATGGCAGTCCTATAGCCTCACTCTTATTTCCTGATCCATGAATGCTCACATTAAAATATAGCAATTAGTTATAAGGTGTCAAAATGTTTTTGCTTTTTGTTTTCATTTTGGAGTGTTTTTTGTGTGTGTCACATAGGCTTGCACAGACAATCTCTCTCTCTCTGTGTGTGTGTGTGGTTTTTTTTGTGTGTCACATATGCTTGCACAGACAATCTCTCTCTCTCTCTCTCTCTGTGTGTGTGTGCGTGTGTGTACTGGTACACAGGTTTACATTTAATATCTTACAAATATGATGCAAGCTATTACGGTTGCTTAGGTAACAAATAAGATAAACAGAACAGAAATAAATATGATTTTTTTTTCTTTAAAGTAACATTTAAACCTCGCTAACTAGTCTTGAACTAAAATGAACAACACATTCTGTAGCCATTTGCCCTGGAAAACCACACCTGATATCAAAATTAATAATCAATGTGCAACAAAGCAGTGTTTTTATTATTATCCTGTACCTTTTGTGTCTTCTTTCTAAGCTCTGCCTGTCATCTTCTGATTCTAAATAATTAGGCTGTTTTGTTGCACAGAGGGTCCCCTTGGAGACCTAAACATTTCTCTGTTGAATTATCTGGCAAAAAGGAAGTTACTGCCAATGAAGGAGACCACTGCCAGTCCTCCTTACTTAATACTAAGCTGTGCTGAATTCATTGTTACTAATTTGTGGACATCTCTGTTATTGTGGTGTACTTTCACATAGATTTGTTTTTTCCCCCATTGAAAAAGATAGTCAGGGGCAAGGAATGTGTTGCCTTTTTTAATTCCAAAATCAAGCACTGGGCACTGTATTAAAATGAATTTAAAAAGGGGACAGCATATATTTACCCAGTAGCAAACAAGCGGATGTTATCCACTACTTGAGTTTTTAAATCCTAACTTCTGATTGACTTTTTCTGTCCTGGGTTGGAATCACTCTTCCTGTTGCCCCATAGATAGTAAGGGTTTTTTAGAAGGATTCAGTTAAGTAAATTATCATGGAAAATAATTGGTAACAAAGAAGGGGAAACAACCCAGTTTGTGGCTTCTTAGGAAGCAAGGCATAGCTATGACTTAGTGATGATTAATGAGAAAAAATCGTACCAATGGTAATGTGAATGGAAAATAGTAAATTAAATTAAAACATCAAATTACTGGCATTGTGTTGCTAAGCAAAAAAATAATGGATTATATTTTAACAAATCGGAACCAACAAATAATTTCCAAGGTTTGCTAGTGATGATGCTTCTGAACCTGCTGATGCCAGCTGAGCCCAGATTGGAGACCACCGGTTAACTGTCAACCAAGAGTTTTATGATTACGCTTACAGATGGCTCACAGATTTTCCCCTGACTTGAAGTTAAGCTCCCCAAAGCAAATGGGCTTCTCGGTTTCTGATTTGCTGCATGAGCTAATTTGTAAACTTGATCTCAAAGAAATGTGTGTGGAGTTGTTGCTTTGGAATGCCAAACCATGTGTACTTTGTGAAGTGTCTTTCAAGTTGACTCGGTGTATCTACCTCTGTCTTCTCCACTCTGTGAGTCCACTGTTTGAGAAAGAGAGATTTTGGAAGTGTGTGTCTGTGAAAAGCAACTGACGTTATTGTGCTAAGCTCAGCTCATAGCATTACAGTGCAGTGTGCATGTTTTAGTGCTCTCCTTTCCCCTTTGAGTCTCAGAACAATCCCCGTGACGCGCTTGATCTGAGAGACTACCCCCAAGGTCTTCCAGTGAGCTTCTTGGTTGAGAGAGAGTTTGAACCTGGTTCCCTTTTGAGAAGAGAAGATTCCCTGGAAAAGACCCTGATGTTAGGAAAGTGTGAAGGCAAGAGGAGAAGGGGATGACAAGATGGTTGGACGAGGTCATCAACAATGCCAACATGAATTTGACCCAACTCTGGGAGGCAGTGGAAGACAGGAGGGCCTGGCGTGCTCTGGTCCATGGGGTCACAAAGAGTCACCCCTCATGGCCAACATAATCTCTAGCTGTAGTTGATGAAAGCTGTGGTGCAGTGTATCTCATAGAAACAGATTGGGGAAGGCTGTTATGGATGATTATTGCTCACTTAAACCTCTGTGAGCTTTCCCATTGATTCCTTCTTCTGGATTCATAACGCTGACATGGCAGGTGCTGGGGAGCAGGGTACTGACCAAGGAAACATTCACACTAGTGTCATCCTCAGAAGGTCATTAAGGCAACGTGACAGTTCCACAGCTGAAGCTATGCAGCCCCACTGTTTTCTGATGCTTAATCAGAGTAGACTTCGTCTAAAAGGGCGGGATAGAAATATAATAAAATAAATAAATAATCAGAGACTCTCTAGACCAGTGATTCCCAGCCTTGGGTAACCCAAGTGTTCTTGGACTGGAACTCCCAGAAGTCTTCACCACCAGCTGTGCTGGTGGAGATTTCTGGGAGTTGCAGCCCAAAGGCACCTGGGTTACCCAAGGTTGGGAACCATTGCCCTAGATGTTCGTGCCCAAGCTGCTCTGAGCCCTTTGTAGGAATAGCAGTTGCAAATGAAGGAAGAAACGATTTCAGTCTAAAATTAGACCTAATATTTGGTTTATGATCTGTAGTGTTCTGTTTCGGAGTGGAGCCGAAATGCTGTAGGGTGTGGGCGGGGTTTGGGTGGGAGCCATGAGGAGGGAGCTACAGCAATATGGGTGCTGTCTGTCCTCCTTTTTCTGGACAATTCGCTCTCTGCAGTGTAGAGCCCTTGCTGCTTTCAGCCTACCTGACGGGAAAATGGTATTTATTTTATCTATTCATTTACTTAAAATAGTTATATTTCTTATTACCATCCAAAGGGGTTGCCAAATAGTGAACATACATGTAAATACCGTAAATATATCGTAGCATTCCTTTTTTGAAAGTTAGTGTTGACCGAAGAAAACTCTGGTTAAAAAAAAAGGCAAAATGAGCTGTTCCACAGACCTTCCATGTTGAGGCTGCTCATCATGTGGGGTGTTGCTACAGAAGCCGCCTCCTTGTACCTTAGTGGCCTAAGCAGATTAAAATTCTGGGTTATATCTTCGTGGTTGCCACCAGATATGATCCTTCTCCACGTGTATTCATTCATCCCTTTGGAGCGGAAGGACCTACCAAAGAAGAGTTCTCCTCCTGAGTAAGCATGCAAGAATTCAAGCAGTATTCAGAGTGAGCCTGGGATCATTTTTCCTAAGAAAATTAAACCAAGAAGGATGCAGACAAATTGGAATAATGGTTGTTGTGGGTTTTTCGGGCTCTTTGGCCGTGTACTGAAGGTTGTTCTTCCTAACGTTTCGCCAGTCTCTGTGGCCATGGGCATCTTCAGAGGACAGCACTCTGTGCTCTGGTG